ATGTTAGTCCCTTCTGTTTCTTCTCCGGCGACAAATGTCTATGCGTATCCATAAAAAGAAATTTTCACCTCTTCTGTTTATGTTTTCAAGCCGTTCCCACACACAACCTTTCATAAAAAATAAGGAAAGATGCTGACAATGAAATAATGAGCAGTATTGACTACACAGATATTTATATGTGCAATGTGCATATTTCCCAATGCTATTGATTTCAGTTAAATCTGAAATGGTTCAATTAGCGAACATACTAGTAGTGGAGCTAGCTCGAAATTCTCTGAACGAGAATGATCAAAATTTTAACCGATGGAGTTCCACTTTGGCCTATCCGAGTATGCTAAAATCGAGCATCTGTCGCCTCAGTTCATATGACTTAAGGCGCCGATGCGGTACCTCTTGCGGTACCAATTTTAAATGGATGTTTTTTGAGAAAATAAGTTGTACACCATACGAAATATTTTAAAAAATCGCGAATATTTCATAACTCCGTAAAACCAATTCTTGGTCGGTTTTTCACGAACTTTCTACGGATATAACTAGGTATGTTGCTGATTCTTTTTACGGACTAATGATATGTATTGCCAATGACTATTATCAACGGTTTCATTTGGTTTATAACTTAGTTTCCCAGAAAGCAACCATTTAAAATTGGTACTGCAAGAAGTCTCACAGCGCATTAAGTCATATAACCTGAGGCGGCAGACGATCGATTATAGCATACTCGGATAGACCAAAGTGGAACTCTGTCGGTTAAAATTTTATGCGGATGGGCTTCATGTCGATCCAGATAAGGTGTCAGCAATTCTGCAGATCCCAATTCCTGAAAATACATCCACTGTACGACGTTTTTTGGAAATGGCCGGTTGGTACAGGAGATTTACATCTGATTTTTCAACACCAGTAGCACCTATATCCCGGCTAATGCAAAAGAATGTGAAGATTGAGTGGTTTACAGAATGCGAAGATGCCTGACACAAGATAAAGGAACATCTTATATCAGCTCCAAACCCAGTCTACTGACGAAGGAGAGTGTCCGTTTGCTTTAGGTCAACAAGTCTGGCGAAGGAATTTTCCCATTTTTGATGCTGCCCATTACTTTTCTTCGAAACTGACCCCTCGCTATATTGGTCCGTTTTTAATTGCAAAGAAAGTGTCGCCGTGGACATACCAGCTTAAAGACGATAACAATCATGACTGTAGGATATGGGACCTGAAAATTGCTTGTGAGGAATATGAAGGTGAAAGTTTCCTTTCGGGTTTTGTTGTTTTGTGTATGTCGCATTTTCTTTTAATAGTTTTGTTCCTTTTTTTTGGAAGGGGAGTATTGTTACGTTCCTTTTCCTCCTTTAATTTTTACTTAGTTTTGTCGCCTTCAAAACCCTTCAAGAAGTTTTAGTTTGTTTTCTTTTGTTGTTATTTTAGGTTAGGGTTAATATTTAGTTTTATAATTATTAGGGATTTTCTTTTTGGTTTTGTTGGTGGTTTGCAATATATTGAAATTATATGTCATTTACAGTGCAATACAGTACACCCTTATACAAGTCTTTAACTAACACTAGGTGTCGTAACCTTTTAAAACGAGAACAAATTAAACGAACCATAAACGTGTGAAGCGAAACTGGAGTTTAATTTAACAAATTCTAGCACCCTTGCTAATAAAATAATATTTTGTAGTATTATAAGGTAATCAAGTTGACAGTTAATTTGAAATACATTATAAAGTTGAAATGTGATTTTCCTTACAACTTTTGTTGCACAGTATTACTTACCCCTTCACATTCCCAGTATATCTAGCGAAATTAATAAAGTTAGGTACTGTCTTTCAGACTTTCACATGCGTTGATCTAAAGTGGAAGTTAACCCCTGCGTTAAATCTGAGCATATTATTACTAACTGCACCAAGGAACAAAATAGACGATACAATGAGTTAATGAGCTTTTAATAATTATCACTAAAATGGTGTCATATTGACCTAATTTCATGACTTTCACCTCCTCCAAATAAGAAAATTTAATAGATTCGTCTGAAAGGTTAATAATAAAATACGTTTCTAAGAACTGAGTACGAAACGAAATAAAAGATTTTGGCCACAAAACAAAAAATGAAGTTCAAATGACAAAACTGACTTCTTAGTGTGTATAACGTTGGTGTTGTCCAGAAAGGTATTCTTTGCGGGTTAACGTCCGTGAAAACTCTAGGATGAAAGTATTTAGAACATCTCAATAAAGGTAGCAGCTGGTGTCTCCTCTACACCACCGTAAACACAAACCGGAAGCTGCTGAACCAAAACTATCACCATCCGAATCTCTTATAAACTGTGGGTGCATATGCCCAAATATAAGGTTTTAAGTCTCTTTTTTATTTATTTATTTTTTTATTTATTTAGGTGAGGACTAAGTTAATAGAGGAACACAGAGATTTCAAATGGGATGATGGATGTAAGCCGACTTTTGATCCTACAATCAATTTTTTAGCTCCAATATGGCGGATTATGATAAGTTGTCGCCACTGTCCTAATACAGTCACTGTAAATTCAAGTATTTTGGAAATACTTGACATCTGTTGTCAATGTTGTATAGATTTTCTCGTTTGTTGAATTCCATGAAATTTTCTTTTTTAAGGGTTGTTGCAGTGGTACATAACGCTTTGAATATATCACGTTCATAAATAGGCTTTATGTGGACTCGCCATGTTTATTTGCGCGTCCATAAAGACCCAGTTTATGTACTTGATATATAAATAGCTATTATGGCATACATGTTAATAAATTATTTGTGAATTTAAGAAATTCATTTTACTTAAGCAAAACATTACAAAGAAGGCACCAATGAGGCAATGCAATGTGCGTAGTCCATTTGAAAGAATAGCTATTGATATCGCGGGCGCCTTTACTTAGACTGGAAACAAATATGTCTTGGTGGCCATGGACTATTTCAGCAAATGGACAGACTATGCTCGACGAGATCAAGAAGCGACAAATGTGGCAGACATTCTGGTAATAGTAGATTGTTCTACAAGTAAATAAAAGTGACAGTTTTCCAGTGAGTGAAAACAGTTTGATGGGGAAAAGTGCTGCTAACGAGGAAAGTGACAGTTTTCTGCATCGTTTTTGATTAAACAATAACGCATATTTCTATTAAGTACACGAAAAAAGAATTTTAGTAGATTTCGAGTACTCCTGGAACTACATTCTGACCAGGGAAATTTTGATTCGGCGCTATTCCAAATCCTATGTCAACTATTGGGCATTCGCAATACCAGAACCTCTGCTATACAGCCACAGTCAGACGGAATCGTAGGACGCATGAATAGAATAGTGGAGAAGTACTTGTCAAAAGTTGTGTCCGACCGCCAGCGTGATTGGGACTGCTATCTGCATTTGTTCTTGATGGCGAACTGTTCTGCGGTGCATGAAACTACAGGAGAGAGTCCAGCTTCCGTGTTGTTTGACAACAAGAAGCTGTGGGAAACGAATACGTGAAAAACTTACCTCAGAAATTGGATGCTAAACGGCCAACCATGGTAAAGGTCGCCATAGTATGCAGCTGGCAAGCGATATAATGACAGTGCAGCTGCATTGCGACGTTAAGGTCCAAGGTGATCGGTATCAACCTGGAGATGTGGTTTCTCCAGAGTCCTGAAATTACAAAAAGCTTAGGAAGGACCGGCTTAATATATCGGATACGGTAACTACCACGAGGAAAACCAGTGATCGTGCATATTATAAATCGGTTGGCTCCATACGTGGGACAGAACGAAGACAAGTAACATCCAGAAGCGGAGAGTGAGACCATTACAGTGCATTACCGCTAGGGAATGCAGTCCCGCAGCAAAATCTCAATCCCGGATTTGCGGGATTGTTAGATGTTAATCCCGCGGGATCCCGGTATTTGCGGAATCCCGCAAAACTTTCAATAAATTGGCAAATAAGCAATTCTGTGCGGTTAACTTCTGTATTAAAATAAATCGCTAATTATCACAATATTTAACAAAAAAGTACCTTCAGCATAACTTCGAGCTCAAAAAAACCTCACCTGTAAAGCACAAAAAGGTGAACTTCTAAAGTGTCTCAAAAATCGTAGTACATTTTTAACGAAAAAAGTTTAACAATTATTTTAAAAATAATTTCTCCGTTATGCGTTTCATTAACAAAGTAAACATAGTCGTTCCCTTGGTCTTTGAATATTTATATTCAAAGCCTGGTCGACAAATCCCTCAGTCCCGCAAATCCCGCGGGATCCCGCTCCATTTATGTGCGGGATTAATCCCGCAAAAATGCTGCGGGATATCGGTATTTCGGGATCCCGCGATCCCGGTATTGCATTCCCTAACTACCGCAGAATTCATTTCAAGACTGGAATGGTGTACATTTATTGTTAGTTGGTTGTAAATAAATAAGCCAGGTAGGTACTGAAAGTTAAGTTACAATACGTGTGCGTATAAACACTATTCAATTTCTTATTTTTACAAAAATTAGTTTTTTGGTTTCCTAGCTTTGGCAAAGGAGGGACATCTCCCTCTTCCGTTGTCTTTTAATCCACTTACCAAAATTGAGGTTTTACCATATAATGACAAGATAAAAAATAATTTAATTTAGAGTGTACCGTAAATGATATCCTTCACGTTGCCACTAATAACGCATAAATCAAACAATCCTCGCCCTAAACCCTACTTCATTGTTCGGTTACGAGAAATGAATTTCGTGATAAATATGATATAAACCCGGAGCTTGTTGATGGTAGACCGCTTAATACCGTACATCTAATGTTTAGGTGCATGTGTAATTAGCTTACCAGATTAGCACTAACGAGTGAACAGCGCCGTTATTGCTCTTTCCATAATCATTACATTTATCTTTGCCCATTTCGTTACGATTTTAATGTGATAATGTAAGATACAGTTTCATTATTGTGCACCTCGTAACAAGTAGGTAAATAGGTACCAATGATTCTTTGTACAAGTATAAAGCATAGGAAAAGTGCTCGCTATAACGCCACCGTTGGTTACGAGGATGTAAATTGGAAAAGTACACATTCCTCTCCATTTAACTGTTCATGCTGATTAACTACAAATTTTGTATTTATTCCTCGTGATTCGCAACGAAACAGAAGCACAAATGGAACTGTAAGTTATCCATCAAATTTTATGGAAATATTTACTAATTCGAACATTGTAGCACTCATCTCGCTTTCGTTATAATTATATTAAGGTTTCAAACAAGCTCCCCCCAAGGAACCCAAGGAGTTACGTTTCCAAATGCGGTCCAGTTTCCATTCGGCGGCCCGTTTATGGGGGTTAGTTTTAATGTACGCCCTAATAAAACCGCAGTTTTCCCTTTTAGTTATTTTTAGCTATTGCAATTCCGTTAGAGCTTCCTAAAACGAACGTATATTTGTCGTACAATTTTGAAGCAAACTATAACATACCAGAAAATGAAACAACTTACGACTACCCCCCAATAATTTCGGACCGATCATTGGGAATAAATAGAAAGAATGTGTATGACGCCTTGGAGTTTAAAATTAATTCGTAAGTTGCGAGACAAACTGAACATTAGGGAAAATATTTCAATTTGCAGACACGGATATCCTGGAAAGGAATGTTTACTGAGGACTATTTGTGAAGTGTCAGAGTATGACCTCAGCGGAAATGGTGTATTAGGGGATATAGTTCATGTGATTCTATCGTAGGTTGATGTATAATGCAAAAACGTTAAATTATGTGAATTTTAGGCCAACATCTTCAAAGAATGAAAACTTATCTCCCGAGTATGAAGAAGCAGAGAAGGACGGTAAATCAAGTCACAACTGCGAGAAATACTCAAAAAGTTGCCCGGTTAGTCTCATAGGCCTTATAAGTTGGTTGGAAAATGCAGACTTTGATTGTAAGACCATTACTCATGTTTTACTACCAGCTCACTATTTTTTATTTTTAGAATGGGTGTGAGAATTTTTGGACAAACTTATTCGTGTATTTCGTTTCATTACATTAAAAACAATACGGCGCAATGAACAGAATTGACCCAAACATTTTATTACCCAAATACTTATTACATATGCATTAACAGATTGTTCAGAATGTGATTTCTAATTAAGCAATTCATGCCTGGGAAAAATTTTCCGTTGCGTTCCATGTGTGTGCCGAATGCAATGAGCTAAACTTAGCTTACAGAGAGAGAGAAAGCAATGTATCCTATCTCTAACGTCAAGATTTTCAACTTTAAACGTGAAAACTGAACTGTCAAAGGTCCCGTTTCCTATACGAAACTCAGAAGGTTCACCGTTCAAGAATTGGATCAAGGGATAATAAATAAATAAATCTGTGACATGGATGCTTGGACATTAGATAACAGTTGGGAGAACCGGAATTAACCGAGGCCTAACCAGCTAGGGGATACCTTTCTTTTCTTCTTTTTTTGTAATGCGTATCGTTAGGCACCTCTTAAAGGTATAAACACTCAAATTGTATACTTATACTTGTAATTATACTGTAGCGTTTTATTACAAAATACAGGAAAAGGAACTATTTTTTATTTTGAAATATAAACAGAATGCCAATTATTAATTATTAAATTTTTTTCACCTAGACAACCACCTATATTGTTTTTCTAGGATCTATCGATTGGCGTTAATGATCGCCACAGTACTCCCCCCTCAGTGACTACCTAATTGTTGTAGTCGCGGAAACGTACAAGCGGTTTAGTTTTTTTCCGTAGTCGAGTTGTTAAAAGAGGAGAATGATCTTCGGATGCAGTTTTTTCATTTTTTATCTCTGACATATCTTCTGGTAGGAAAGCTGGTTTTAGACGATCAATGCCAACGTTGACACTTTTACCGTTAAATAGAATAGTATAAACTTTCTCACTGCGCTTGAGGTCCGGTGTAAGGTTGCTGAAGCGGCTTTCGTACTGCATCAACTCTTAAGAAGACATGTGTACATTTTTGCAGCTCTGGATGTACAAAAACTGCAGTTTTTCCACGTCGTGCTATTGGACATGGACGAATCTCACGCATTTGATCTCTAAGTCGATCGACGAAGGTTACAGGATCCACGGAAGGATATTCGCCATCAAAGAAAAATTCTCCTGGAATTCTGAGCTGAGTTCCATAAGTTAATTCTGCAGGCGAACATTGTAGATCTTCTTTGAAACTTGTTCTTAGTCCAAGGAGGATAGTTGGTAGTAGCTCAAACCAATTAGTGCTGTTATGGCACATAATGGCGGCTTTCATGCTTCGATGCCAGCGTTCAATTAAACCATTCGATTGTGGACGGTAGGCGGTCGTGCGGCATCTCTTAATCCCAAGTAGATTCGTTAAGGACGAGGTAAGTGAAGCTTCAAATTGACGTCCTTGACCAGTCGTAATGCGTTGTGGACATCCATAACGAGACACCCAGGTGGAGTAAAATGTTTTTGCTACTGTTTCGGCGGAGATGTCCACCATAGGAGTAGCCTCCGGCCACCTGGTGAAACGATCGGACATTGTGAGACAATATCTGTGCCCTTGGGAAGGTAGGAGTGGTCCTACGATGTCAATATGGACATGTGAAAATCTACTATCTGGAACAGTAAAAGAAGTTAGAGGGCTCACTGTGTGTCGTGATACTTTCGATTTTTGACATTGTATGCATGATCGCGCCCAGGACGTGATGTCTCGATTCATGAATGGCCAAACGAATTTCTTCTTTATCGCTCGACCGGCGTTTCGTCCACTAGGGTGTGAGAGATTATGAAACATATGGAAAACTTTTCGTCCTAGACTTTTAGGTACATAAGGACGGATTATGCCTGTAGAAACATCGCAGGCTATTATTGTTGAACTGTTATCAAATGGACAAAGCTTTTTCATTTCTAACGATGTTTCGCTCCCATTCAGCAGCCGTTGTAATTCTCCATCAATTTCTTGTTCAGCGGCGAGTGTTTCAGTGTCGATTACAGTAGGCGTGATTATTTCTTCGATTCTGGATAAAGCATCAGCAACGACATTACTTTCTCCAGGTATATGTATACTGGAGGTTGTTAACTGGCTTATGAAGTCAAGCTGTCTCAACTTCCTCGAGAAAAAACCTAACGGCGTCCATGAATCATTGTTGCACTGTTCCAGAACTGCGCCGATGGAGAAATCTGAAGCGTCGGTTGTCAGCGCGAGTGTTGTACCTTCGATTGGATATGCTAGAAGAGCACAGTTCGCCAGATCTTTCTTGCATCGTTCGAAAGACGTTTCAGCTTTGGATGACCATATAATAGCCGTTTTGTCGTTTTTACAGCTGTTCTTCAGATAATCGTTCAAAGGATCCTGGATTTCAGCAGCATTCTTCATAAATCTCCGATAGAAATTTACCATGCCTAGGAAACGACGTAAGTCCTTGACGATGGTCGGTTTCGGAAATTTGAGGATTGCAGATACTTTGCCAGGGAGCGGCGAGCTACCATCAGCTGATATAAGGTGGCCTAAATATTCTACCTGATCAGCGCCTAAAACACATTTTGCAGGATTGACAATAATTTTGAATTCTTTAAGACGCTGAAACACTTTTTCAAGGAGAAGAAGAACAAATGAAAATGTCATCAATATAACAAAAACAAAAATCAAAATCTGCTAACACTAAATTAATATGTCTTTTATTTATTTATTTATTTTTATTTTATTTTGCCTTTATTTTTAAGTTTTAATTGTCTGTAATCACCGCAAGGTCTCCAGTCTCCTGGTGTTTTCTTGGGTACCAGATGAAGTGGGCTAGCCCACGGGCTGTTGGATGGTCGGCACCATCCTTGATCCATCATAAACTGGAATTCCGCCTTGGCAATTCTTAATTTTTCGGGCGAAAGTCGACGAGCTGGTTGCGATACAGGAGGTCCAGTTGTGATAATGTGGTGCACCGTGGAGCTCTTCACTTTAGTGTCTGGCGGTACGGGGCGAGTGATATCTGGGAATCGAGCCAAAACCTCATGATATTTTGAAGAAACTACGAGAGTTGTAATTGTTGGAGCATCGCAGTCTTCAATGCTAGCGACAGAGGTGAGTTGAGTTCTCGAGTCAATAAGTTTTGTGTTTCTTAAATCAACTAGCAAACTATAATAACTCAAAAGATCTGCGCCTATTATGGGTTGAGAGACGTTGGCTATAACGAAAGTCCATTTATACGATCGCCTTAATCCCAAGTCGAGGCAAATTAATTTTTCTCCATAAGTTGATATTGGTGAGGCATTGGCTGCGAAAAGCGACACTTTAGTGAGTATGCAAGTTGACTTACCCAAGAACTGCTTTGGAAGCACCGATATATCTGCTCCCGTGTCGATTAGATATCGAATTCCGGACTTTTTATCTGTTATGAAGAGGCGATGATGTTTTTCGCTACCCCCGAACACTGCCTCATGTGTCGGTGGGTTGTTTAGTTTTCCTTCGGCTTGAAATTACAGGGAGGTTTGCATTTTCTTGCCTTTTCACCGAAACTGGCATGGTAGTAACAAACTTCCTCTGCTGGGCGATGTCTAGAGTTACCGGAGTGTGTCCGTGAACGAGATTTAGATCGACCATAACGCTGTTGTGAACGTCCTCTATCGGTGGTGAGGGTTTCAACCATGTCAGTGAGCATCTCAATTTGTTTTTGCATTACTAATAATGCAGATGCAGATTCTGACATGTCCGTGCGTCTGGGAGACGCAGCACGGTTGACTGCAGAAATCGACCCAGAAGCGTATATTTCCACAAGTTTGTCTGCGACGTCGGCCATCTTATCCAACGTGACACCTTCGCTGGCAGAAAGAATGAGCTGGACATTTTGAGGCAAGCGCTGCACCCACAAGGTCTTCAGTACGTCTTCGTTAATGCGTTTATCTGCTAAGCTTCTCATCTGTCGCAGTAATTGGGAAGGTTTGTGATCACCTAATTCAATTTCATTAAGCAGCTTGCGCAACTGACGATCCTGCGAGTCAGAATACGCCGCAATGAGTTTCTTCTTTATGGTCTCGTATTTGTCTGTCGAGGGTGGATTAGCCACGACGTCGGAGACCTGTTGTAATACATTACAATCTAGTGCAGCTGCCACTGTGAAAAATCTTGTGATGTCTGACCTGATTTTATACGTATGAAATTGGGCATCTACTTGTGCAAACCATAGGACGGGGTCCTTTTGCCAAAAAATTGGTAATTTAACCTTTCTAATCTCCTCTATCGTATCTGTTGTAGGTTGCGGTTGTTGTCGACTTTCCGCTAATTGCTCCTGCAGCCGCGCGATGAGCGTTTGTTGTTCCTGTAGTTGTTGTTCCATTTTTCAGATGTGTCCGCACGTAATCACTCACGTCTCAAGTCGGGGTTACCAAATTGTAGCGTTTTATTACAAAATACAGGAAAAGGAACTATTTTTTATTTTGAAATATAAACAGAATGCCAATTATTAATTATTAAATTTTTTTCACCTAGACAACCACCTATATTGTTTTTCTAGGATCTATCGATTGGCGTTAATGATCGCCACAATACTATTAATGTCATTGTTTATTTATAATTAATTAGTGTTACCCGATCGATGAATAACCTGATGAATAATCAATTTTTGACCGCGTTAGCAATTGCTGCTGTACTTGGCATAATTGGAGGTAAGACATTGGCTAAACTAGCAAATATGAAACATCTTTGAAATGAAACATCCCGTATATTCTAAATCTAAATTACCTGATAGAGATCTATAAAACATTAAATATTAAAATTTGAATTAATCGAAATGAAAAATGACTTCTGAAAACTATAACTAAAACTACGATTAATAAGAATTACAATCGAAATTCTGTAACCAATCTCTACAATTCACAACAAAAATCACGCAGCCGATATCACTGCACCTGTATATGACTTGTGTGAATCTTATTAAAGGAGGAAGTTTGTCGCAATTGTCGAGACCGGCTTCTACACCTTTATCAAAGTTTGAGTTATTTAGTTAATGAAAAATTTCAAAATTTGCTTTTTACCCGCTCGCCTAACGTGTATTTTAAATTCCCCAATTCATTATATCACTTCTATTAATCTAATTTTAACTCAAACCACCTAATGGCATTGGTATTTTCAGATTCTGTTCAAAATGAAATCGCTGAGATCACTTGAGGTGAAAAATTAAAGCATATTACCGTTTTTGTGTGCGATATAGAATCGACAAAACGAATTGGAAAAAGTAAAAATTTAAGCTTTCAACGGCGCGGCGTCCAACCAAATAAGCGACCTTAAACTTATTTGATGTCTACACCATCGCAGAACAACTCAATTAAATTAGAATGTCGAGCCACTGAGCCATATTGATTTCGGCCTTCTCATGAAGGGCTTTATTTTTCTACTCGTTTTTATATTTAATGGTTCCAAGTACACAGCATGAAACTGTTTTACTCTTCACTGCATTACTTATTACCGGCGCTAGATCGCTTTGTGAGTTTTGATATTAGGT